AAAGACCAGGCCAAAAGACCAACAAAAGACCAACAAATTACAACAAAAGACCAACAAATTATGTACTATTGAGGTAGATGACATGCGGGTACGGAGAAATGTTATGTATTATTATTATTATTAATTCAACATCTCCTGGTGTACTAACGGGGTTTATGTACTAACGAATTCGCATGCGGATGCAGTTTTTGGCGCTCTGCCCAAACGTGAGATTTTGACTCTTTTCGTAGTTCGGTGAGCCTTTGGCTCCCGTGGACCCACGGAAACGAAGATGAATGCTGAGATAGACCTCGCCCTGCTGGGCTTTGACAGGCTGAGAGAGCTGGGACGGCAACAGGGTATTGTTGGATGCGATGGCCTCGCAAGACCGGAACTGGTCTGTGCGCTGCGGGACGCTGGAATTGGATCTCACTGGACCTGTAGTAGTAAGTCGCAGTCTGACACTCTAACTAGCCTAGTAGACCAGGTCACTTGCCTCACCAAGGAGCTATCCTTGATAACATCAATGAAGGCCGAAATACTTACATTGAAGGCAGATTTGGCCGATCTACGTGCATTGTCTGTACCCCATGACAGTTTGCAGAGCTACCACCCTGCTGGAGCTCTTTTGAAACCAACCTTGCCTGCTGTCACCGTACAACCCCAGAACCTACGCACATCACCAAATGCAACCCAGATTGAAACCAGGCCCGCCAAAAACGGCACCTATCATCCTCCAGCACTGTACAGCACCACCGTACAGGCTGGGCACCAGGGACCAAATAAGGCACACGACACACGTAATGAGACCACCGTTCCCTCGACACGAGTCACATCGTACTACGAGAATCGCCCAAAGCCCTCGGAACAGCTGTCAGGAGGGTCCCGCACGAAGTATTGTGCACTATATTTGGGCAACGTAAAGAGTGGATGCTCCTCTGACTCGATTGCCAAGTGGTGTACAAGACGAGAAATACAAGTGATCAAGTGTTCAGTCTCCGAAACCAAGTACTTTGGAGTGGCATTCGCCCACGTCGTCATTCCAGCGGAACACAAGGAAGCAGCCCTCGGTCCAGATTTCTGGCCTCCAGAGGTCACTGCAAGAGAATGGCGCTTTAAGCAGGACAGGATCACCTCTGACCACGCATCAAATCCGTAAACATGTCTACTCTAAATCCACTCGCACCACCCTTCACCCCCAGATCACATCCTTCATCCTTCTCAGTGCTCTCACTTAACTGCCGCTCCATAGTAAATAAGTTAGCTGAGCTTAGTCAAGTCTGTGAGCAGTATTCTCCAGACATAATCTGCCTATGTGAAACGTGGCTGACAGCTGCCATAGACGTCTCAATTCCAGGCTACACGTCATACCGCCTGGACCGCCCACCCACGACCAGCTCTGATAACCTGCCAGCAAGAGGCTATGGCGGTGTTGCTACTCTTGTAGCTGACAGATCGTTCATGTCCATCAAGCGCCGCTTCGACCTTGAGCGCTGTGGACTGGAGGCGGTTTGGCTCGAATTGCGGCCAGTGATCCTTCCCTCACTCCCCCTCATCATCTGCTCTGTTTACAGACCCCCTGGAGACAGCATCTCCCAAGTTCAGGCATTTAGTGACCTCCTAGAGGACTGTCTGTCCACTATTAGCCTTCCCAATTCGGCGATTGTACTTGCAGGAGACTTGAATGCTCGCCACTCTGACTGGTCTCCTAGTGACACCACGAATCGTGCTGGAAGGGAGTTCCGTAACCTCTTCTCTTGTTTTGGCCTTGAGCAAATGGTGACATTCCCCACACACTTTACCCCCCACGGCTCAACATCGTGTATTGACGTTGTACTCACGGATCATCCTCACCTACTACTCTCTGTTACATCTGTTGCTCCTCTTGGTGCATCTGACCACGCACAGATCCTCAGTCATTTCCTACTGCCTACTGATGCTGTTTACCGTGAGGAACCTGCTGCAAGCGGACATCCCGCTGCTGCACCCCAAAGCCACTTCAGCAATGTTCCTGCAAAGGCGGAATATGACTTTAAATCCGTGCCATCTTCCGTCTGGGATAGTGTGAATGCAGAGCTCTCTGATATTGACTGGAGCTGGCACCTGCGTGCCAGCAACGTCGATGATGCGCTTTCACACTTTTCTTCCATTCTCTACAGTGCCCTTGAGAAGCACCTCTGGCCATTCGGAAAGCAGCCGTATTCTCACCGCTGCCCACGGCCCAGTCAGCCACCCTGGGTTGATGCCCATCTCCGCACAGCAATCAAGTGGAAATATGATCTCTATAGCATTTTTAGGAAGTACCCAACACAACAAAACAAACAAGCATACCAACAGCAGTGAAATATAGTGAAAACCCTGACGCGGACAAAGTACAGAGCTTATATCCGCTCAATGAAAACTACTTTGCAGGGTAGACACCGTCCATCGCTTCACCAGTTTGTGAGACAAGCAAGAATTCGAAACGTATCACGGGAAATTCCGTCACTCACAACAGGGACTCAGCAGGCGGCTGACCCTTTGGCCAAAGCTACGGCATTAAACGCCCAGTTTGCCTCTGTGACTCGGCCAGATGACCCATTGCTCTCTATTCCCCCTATTCTCACCCCCTCGGAGCCCTCAGCTTGTTTCACGTCCGTCATCACCACAACTGCCACTGTCCGGCGTCATCTGAAGAAGCTTCCGACGTGCAAGGCGTCTGGTCCTGACGGCATCCCCAACCGGGTCCTCAAGGCCCTGGCACCATCCATAGCATTCCCTTTGTGCCATATTTTCAACATGTCATTTACCACGGGCATATTCCCTTCCGCATGGAAAACAGCGAAAGTCATACCTGCATTCAAGAAAGGTTCCCGCCACGAACCTGCAAACTACCGCCCTATCTCTCTTCTTCCCTGCGTGTCCAAAGTATGTGAACGCATCTTTTATGACCACTTATACAGTCATGTTTCGCCCTTTCTGAGTCCCGCACAATCTGGGTTTCGTAAAGGCGACTCCACCTCTCTTCAACTGACCCGCATCGTGCAGCAGGTGTGCCAGCATAGGGATAACAGAGCGCTTGCTGGCATTTGCTTCTTTGACTTGGCCAAGGCTTTTGATACCGTCTGGCATCGAGGACTTTTGGCAAAGCTCGAGCATGCATTCAGGGTACACAAACAGCCACTCTCCTGGCTGAAATCTTATCTCTCTGGGCGTTATCAGTACGTAACTGTGCTTGGCACATCCTCGGCTGCAGAGCCAGTATTGTCGGGCGTTCCTCAAGGATCAATTCTTGGTCCCCTACTATTTATAATTTACGTAAACGACTTACCTGCAGTCTTCCCTGGAACGTCTCTGTTTGCTGACGACACGACCCTTCTCACCTCATCAGCTTCCCTCACTGGCCTGAAAAACAACTTGCGTGCTGGCATTCAGGAAGTTCTTTCCTGGATGTCGTCCTGGAGGTTGTCCCCAAATCTATCAAAAACAAAGATCATGCTCTTCCCGCCCCAGCCGGAGTTCACAACCCTCATCCATGCCAACTTTCCAAATCCAATTGACATAGTGTCTTCTCACAAACACCTTGGCATTGTGATTGACTCTGCACTCTCTTGGGTACCTCACATCGAATATATCTGTAAAAAATCAAGTAAATCCTTAGGAATTCTCTCCCCCCACCCCTCCTACCTCCCACTTTCTTGCAAGCTTCTTTTTTATTTCGCCTACCTTCGCCCAATATTTCATTATGCAGATACGTCTTGGGTTGGGTTATCCTCTTCCGCTGCTGCAAAGCTTGAAATACATCACAAGAAAATCCTTAAAATTCTCCTCCGTCAACCCCGCATGCTCTCATCATCCGCCCTTTATAAAATCGCTCACACAACCCCGTTATCACATGGACGCAGTGCACACCTGGCTTCTCTTGTCCATTCTATTAAGCTTGAGTTGTGCCCACCTCATTTCATGTGCTTTAATTGGTTCTCTTCTCTAAGAAACTAGAAACTCACTCTTACTCCCTAAGTGTAACTCATCCACTCTTTTGCGCTCCCCTCTCTTTATTGCTTATTCTGTTTGGCTCACTCTACCCAGAGAAGTTAAGGACCTGACCTCACTCCGCCTGTTTAAGATCCGTGCCGCCCCTTATTTACTACGACATGCATAGCTCATTATCCACATGTCCTTTGCGTCTCTGTGTTTTTCACTGTTTTTATTTGACATTATCTTTCTCTTTCTTTACGGAGTTGTTGCTGTTCATTTTGCTACTCTTTCTTTTTCCCTCCCCTTACTTTTATTTATCGCCGTGGTTGGCAATCACCCACTCTCTTTAACATTGGCCGGTGTTTCCACCGAGTCTTGAGATGTTGTAATAAATATATATATATAATGTACTAACCGACAAAATTTGTATGGAAGTGACCGCGTTTCGTCCGGGACTTGAGATTTCTTATGTACTAACGGGGTTTATGTACTAACCGGACTCGTATTAACGGGGGACGACCTGTATTCGGGTCCAGATTGTCAGTAGCGTTGTTGTTCTGGTTTCAAGGCTATTAAAATTCTGTTAGTGGTCACCTCCAACCTGACGGCATAGGTGCGAATGGCAATGCGTTCAGAGAGCTGCTCACCAGGCAATGGCTCTCTAGGAAGCCAGGTACCCGTCCCGAGTTTGTTATGCGGTATGCTGGGATACCCTCAAGTTGGGCATCTCAATGCTGGAGCGATGGTGAACTGGCTCCAAAAGGAGCCTGTAGATTGCAGCCGTCGGCAGGTCAGGTACAATCCATTTGAACAAAATTTCGCAATTCCCAAAACCGCCATTATTGTAAAGACCCCCAAAACAGATACTTGGCAAGGCCTGACAATGCTTTTTCATCTCAGTCATTATTGGTCACTTGTTGGTCTTGCAACTAGTGACAGGTTGGTTGGGTGAAAGTCAGCGGCTCCTCGACTTGACAATCTTTTCAATAGTGGTGCATGTCAATCCCAAAAGTGTCTGTAAAAAAACTTAGAAAATTGTATTTCAGCAAACATTGAAAACTCACGAGAGCATGGTGTAGCACGTAGTGTTGTCCAGTTTCCATGGGATAAACACTGTACAGTTGAATTGATGGCATCGATGTTACGGTCAAAATATGGCTGGCACTGTATAACAATATTACCACCGTGAATTGTGACATTGATTGTCGAATATGCTCCACCAAGTGGACTTGATGGTTCATTGAATTCACCTAAAATGCATGCAAGAGATTAATTGAAATAGTTGAAAAAGTTTAAAACGTTTTCGCTAGGACAATGAAGATAATGAATTCAGCAACTCGGTTGGTTTAATGACAAGCCGCTTCTCCCGTTTGCCCTAAACACTATTTTGGTACATTATTTCCAAAACCATACAATTTCTCCTCTTGTATGTCTTCCCTGCTTGGTTCGCCACTAACATAAGTCGATTTGAGAAGATAGAAGTACTTCACCGCAGAATCCTTCGTAAAGTATTTCATCGAGACCGTTACGTACAAAACTTAGACTTGCATGCAGCCGCAACTACAACTTTACAACACCATTTTGATACTTTTAAGAGCATGTCCGAGAATACCTAAGTACAAGTGCAAGTCGATCTCTCCGATTTCGCACAAAATTTACAGGTATATGTTCCTTTTGGGGTGTCCATCAGTTGTGCAAAGCCCTTGAAAATGTTTCTCAAGGGAACCTTCAAACTTGCATACCCTTAAAAATGGCAGTTTAAAGACCGTGACCAACATCATAATTCAGCGTCACAAGACAACCTTGAAGCAGCAATGGTCAACATTCCACCACAGTTAGGACCAATGATACAGAATGATGACAGCACTGGGTGACCCTAAGTGTAACCTACTTCTAACTAATGCATTCTGCCTGATGTGTAAGCTCGGCGAATTTTTTTTTCTTCAAAATCCACATATCTCCAGACACTGGGGTGAATGATGGAATTCCAGCACGTAGTCACCACACACCTCCCAGACATTGTAGATGTAAGGGAGACGACGTTTACCGCTGAGAAATGTACGAATGTGGATGCCCTTCTGCCAGGTTACCAACCGCCCATCCTTCGTGACCGTACATCCTCAGTGCAGGACTCGCTCAGATTTCAAACGTACAACATGGCTTTCCTTGGCCTGGGTGGCTCCGCTGACACCAACTGTGAACTGTCATCTGCAATGACATCCAGGATGGCTTTACTACTTCTGTCATTGCGCTTGGCCTGCTGGAGCTTGGAGCCTTTACCTACTGCAGATTGTGAAGCTTCCTGATCGCTGCTTTCAGTGTCGTCAGTGTCACTAACACTATGGTTTTCAGTTGTAGAACTCGTACTGGGGTCATTGGTGCCCGTAGCTGCATGTCTACGGGATGTCTTGCTCGTACGCTGGCACTGGGCCTGGCGAGAAGCACTCGCCGAAACAATCCCGGTTTCCTTCAGGGAAACAGCATCCTCACTGAGCGCATTCACTTGCTTATTGAACAGATCGATCTGGTTCAGCAGGCGTGGCTCCAGATCGGCCGACTGTGACACGAGGGAGGACAGTGTTGTGACTCGTTCTACGACAGAAGTCTGAATTCCTGAGAGGGAACTCAACATTTTGAGCTCCGACTTGGTCATCCCGCGAATGGCGGCTCATGGTGGATGATTATACGGAACCTGAACTGAAGTCCCATTTTCACACTGTCACTTCACCGGTGATACACAAGTCGTAGAACACTTCTCGGTGAGACCTTCGACCGCAAACTGCTGTTCCGCAACCATCTCCACCAGGTTTCAGTCAGATCAAATCCAGCTAGCGCCCTGGCTTCTTCAGGAAGGTATGCCCAGTACTCAACCCCAACGGCCGCCTCAGCATATGCAACGGCTTCATCCTCCCCACCTTGCCAAGCTTGACTGCATCCAGCAACGGTGTATGCGCAGCAATGACGCTGGGACCATGCTCCCAAGCTTATCAGTCCTTCGGCAAGTCTCTGGAGTGTGCTGTTCAAGCTGCACTATATATCAAGTCCAGCCCAGCTGACAAACATGCTGCCACCTGCTGCCACTGAGCCCGCCCGCCCCAGAAACCCGCCACCGACATCAAGTGAGACACTCCCCTGCCTTCCAGTTGTCAAACCCCCTCCCCGCAACAAGTCCTGACATCCTACACTGATCCTTCCCATTCGGCCTAATAACAACATGGAATTTGGCATCCTGAACGCCCCCCCCCCCCCGCCCTGCCCATCCCAAGCAGTGCTGCAACGCTTCACAGTAGCAGTGTACAGGTACCTCCTCGAGCAAACTTGTGGGACTGCTGTCGACGTGTACACCATAGACTAGCATACTAGCTGATGGCCCAACTCTTTCTTCTTTCTTTCTCTTTTTAACCCGCCCCCCCGCCCCCCCCCCCCCCCCAGTGCGCGTTACCAAGACCTCTGGTCAGAGGAGTCCACAACGTCCCACCTACACAGCTGCGCTAGTGGATACTAGTAGTCAGCCCCGACTCAATAGTTGTTTGTTCTGTCAACCCACAACATTTGTGTTTTAGTCGTTTCTTCGTTCTCCCTGCATGCAACTTGTTATCTTTCTTGTTATAATATTTTGTCTTGAGCCGGGTTTGTGTTCTTTGAAAAAAATATAAAATACACTTGAGCAAAGCCGTGTGTGGTCGGTATGCCATATTAATGGGTAAGCGGTTCTCTAGATACGGCATGAACGAGACTCTTCACATTTTCCGCGGAACGATTGGCGATAACCTTCTGGACAACGATAAGATCATACTCAGTCTCGACGCTCCTCAGAAAGCAGGTGGGATTACCAAAGACTGGTATTCCATGCCTCTGAATTACACAAGCCGCGAGGAGTGCATTTCAAGAGAGGCAAAGTGAAGAGCCGGTCTGTGGATCACATCTGGAGTGCTGATCTAGTTGGCGAATGGTTGTAGAACTTGACTACTTCTTTCGGTGTTACATGTATCATGTGTGGAAACGAATCTGGTCATTTGTGGCTGTTGGCAGAACGTCTACTTATGACATCGCATTTTTTTTAATCGCTATATCTAGACCCGGATGGAAAGTCAAGGGATAATTTCTAAGGAGAAAAAGGACAAAAGAGCTACTTTGAAGTACAAATTGAAATCGCAACGAAAATTAATCGAATTCAAAAAGAAAATGTGAACTCTCAATATTGCATACTCAACATTCAAACGAGTTTTTCTCAGTTTGATGTCGCATACCATAAGCACCCTTTTGCCGTGTCGCGGCTCGATTGGTGTGTATTTGAGAAGTGAAAGTAGGGTGCGGTTTGACATTTTGTGCTCGGAGGATTAGCCTCGAGGTGCGTCTTTTTACAGAACTACCCCTCCCCATTATTGCTGAGAACTAATAGAAGAGACCAACAGTACCAATGGCGACAAAGGAAGGCATGGACCTGGCTTTAGTTGGCTATGAGGAGCTCATCAAGATCGGCGAGCAAATGTCTGTGGATAAAGCCTCGAGCCTCTCCCGGCCGGATCTGGTGAGCGAGCTGAGGAAGCGTGGAGTGGGCGTGTTGGCGCAGAGTTCGCTACCCACATCGGAGCTCCAACTTGCAATTGTAAGCCTTACTGACTCAATTAGCTGCATGTCACAGGAAATTGTCTCCTTGAGACAGGATAGAGCCGACAAAATCCTGAGTCTGGAATTAGAAGTGCAACAACTCAGGCGGGAAGTTCAGGGGCTCCAACAACCGGAAATCTGTGTACACCCTCTCGTACAGGAAGCACAGCAAAATTTGGCAATGTCCGGCGGGAAGTTGTACAGCACCGCCGTAGGAGACTTGAATCCCCCACGTGCACGCACCCATATTTCCTCTGGTCCTATGCAGTACACACAGGGTAGTACGGGTTCTAGTACTCACCATATGACCCCCGCTCACACCACCTCCAGCCATTTGTCGCAGCCTGTTTTGTCAATGCATGGCACCAGACCACACCCACCTGAGCAATCCCACCCAGGGTCGAGTGCTGCAGGTGCAGAGTGGTCGGAAGTCACACGCCGTAGGGTTACGTCACGCTACGTGAAACCTCAGCCCCGGGCAGCCGGCCCGCGTGTGCTAACAGGGCCTAAACGTACAAAGAAGCTTGTTCTGTACGTTGGAAATGTCAGTCCGGGTTGCAGGGCAGAGTCAATAACAGCGTGGTGCAAGGCCCGTCAAGTTGACGTACTGAACTGTTCGATTTCAGACAACACGTACCTGGGTACTTGCCATGCTCGCGTAACCGTGGCAGCATTGGACGAGGACAAAGTTCTCGACTCCAAATTCTGGCCGGCCACCATCCAGCACACAGTGCGAAAGTGGCGCTTTGCTGATGCCCAAGGTAACAAGTCGTCTTCTACTTCGCGGCGAGGCAGTGATGATCAATCCTGAACTGTCATGCTAACAAACCAACATACACAACGATGCAGCAACAACGACTAAATCCCAACGCCCCTGTATTCACCCGCAGATCGAAACTAGCCCACCCGCTCTACCCCGCTCAGCCCTCCTCTGGCCGATCCGCACACATTACATGTCCATCGCTAAATCCATCAGCGTTCCCTTTTTCCCTAAATCCCAGCGTGATTTAACCCTAGTATCTCTGAATTGCCGCTCTGTTGTCAACAAGTTGTCTGAGCTCTGCGTTATTGCCGAATGTGCTAAGCCTGACATAATCTGCCTAACAGAGACGTGGCTCTGTCCCTCGAACCCGCTCTCACTGTCAGGCTATATCTGCATCCGCAGAGATCGACCTCCGGAAGACAATCGGTCAGCACATTGTAGCCGTGGGTATGGGGGTGTTGCCGTACTTGTCCGTTCGGACTCCTTTCCGTACGTCTCCCGTCGTGCCGACCTTCAACGCCCTGGCTGCGAGTCTGTGTGGCTTGAACTTGGCTCCCCCTCTACTCAATCTCAGAATCCCATCTTACTATGCTGCATGTATCGACCACCCTCACAGAGCACAATGCAATTGTCGTATTTTTGTGACATGTTTGTTGAGGCATTACAGTCAGTCTGTTTAGATTCTTATGATCTGTTAGCGACTGGCGATTTCAACGCCCACAAGTCAAGCTGGTGTCCCACCGATTCTACCTCGAAGGCTGGTGATCTCCTTAGCACAGTATTTGCTGCTCTTGGGTCCACCAGATGGTTGACTTCCCCACTCATTCCTCGCCTAATGGCTCTGTTTCGTGTCTGGACTTGGTGATCACCAACCGACCACGCCTCGTGCGCTCAATTGATCAAGCACCTCCCTTGGGTATGTCTGACCATATACAGATTGTTTGCACTTTATGTTACGCCCCTATTTCGAACTACTTCCCCAACTCTTCCACTGGTCCTCCCTCTTCACTGTATCGCTTCAAACAAGTACCTTCGCACCTTTGGCAATTAATCAACGCTGATTTAGCTGGCTACAACTGGTCCTCTCTGAACTCGTACACTGATGTTAATGACGCACTTCATCACTTTGATTGTGAGCTCCAGTCCGCCTTCCGTCGTCACCTCACCTCATTCGGAGCCACCCACACTGTGACATCTCCACGACCCCGCATGCAATCTCCACCATGGGTTACTGCTGAGCTCAGGTCTGCTGTAAAAAGCAAGCGTGATCTATATAGTGTGTACAAAAAATATCCGACAGCAGTAAATCATGCAGCTTATAACCGACAAAGGAATGCTGTAAAGCACCTGTCTCGGCAAGCACATCGTGAATATATACGCTCCATCCAAGCATCACTAACGTCACCGAATCGACCTACACTCTTTCAGTTTGTGCGAGCACAGTGGCACACTTCCGGCCGTGTCATGCCCCAAACGATGATAGCATCCGACGGTACGGTCGCCACGTCCCCCAAGAGCATAGCTGATGTTCTGAACACTCAGTTCACCTCATTTGGGCTACCTGATGATCCTTCGTGGCGCATTCCGCCTTTGTCCCAGTCGCCTTTCATATCTGTTCCGTTCCGTACAATCACTGTCACTACGTTTCAAGTTCGGAAATATCTGAAGCGCCTGAAATGTGGAAAGTCTCCCGGCTCAGATGGGATCCCGAATGAAGTGCTGCAGTCTCTTGCACCATCAATAGCCTATCCTCTCGCCATTATGTCATTTCGAACTGGTACATTCCCACAGGGTTGGAAATCCTCCATCGTGACACCGCTTTACAAGAATAAAGGCTCCCGTGCTTGCCCGGCAAACTACTGCCCCATCTCTCTGCTGCGCACAGTTTCCAAACTTTGTGAGCGTATTGTACTCGATTCCCTCTACCTGCACATCGCTCCGGCTCTCTCACCAGCTCAGTCGGGATTCTGCCGTGGTGACTCAACTCAATACCAGGTGACTCGACTTGTCCAAGACATAGCGACAAAGAGGAACTGTGGGGAGCATGTGGGAATGGTGTTTTTCGACTTGGCTAAGGCATTCGACACCGTTTGGCATCGTGGCTTACTTGCCAAGTTGGAGGTCACCTTCCGGGTGGAGGATGCTGCCTTGCGTTGGATATCCTCGTATCTGTCTGCTCGTTCTCAGGCTGTTCGCTTGTCTTATTTCTTGTCTGATCCCCTCCCTGTAGCGTCTGGAGTGCCCCAAGGTTCCATTCTGGATCCTTTGTTATTCTTGCTTTACGTTAATGACCTACCTTCAGTTGTCCCCGATGTTAGTTTGTATGCGGATGACACTGGCCTTATCTGTTCTGATTCCTCCCCTGCACAATTACTCCTTACCATGCAGCATCGCATCAACAGCACTGTCATGTGTATGCAAACGTGGAAACTCCAGCCCAATTTAGACAAGACAGAAGCCATGTATATTTCTTCATCCCCTCCTGATCAACCATTATACTTCCCTGACTCGACTATGCCTATCCGTGTTGTTACTCAGCACAAACATCTAGGTGTGATGTTTGACTGCAAACTCTCTTGGGCTGCACATGTCAACTGTGTATGCAAGCGAACCAGTTCAGCATTAGGGGTACTACAACCACATTGCACTCATTTGCCCATCCAGTGTAAACTATTATTTTATCAGTGCTATATTCTCCCTATATTCGACTATTGCGATACCGCTTGGTGTGGCCTTTCTGGCACAACTCTGAACCAATTAGAAGTCCACCATAGATTTATACTTAAAATTCTTTACAACAAGGATCGATGTTTTCCTTCGGATGCCCTTTATCGACTTGCACACACTTCTCCTCTCTCCGTTCGTCATAAGCACCATCTCTGTACACTGGTTCATAAAATATTTCTTCATAAAACCCCTTCACACATGATGAAGTACAATTGGTTTTCGACAAGCTCAACCCGTAACGCGCTCACCCTGCCTCTTGTTAAGTCAGCCCAGTATCTAAAGTCCCCTTTGTTTTCCGGCTACTCTCATTGGTTATCATTACCATTACGGTCTGAAAACTTGTTCTTCTATTGGTCAGTTTAAAGATCTACTATCACAACTGAACTAGACGCAATAATTATCATCGAAGAACATTCTCGAATACCTGGGGGATACACGAATTTTGATAGTGCTCACTTCCGTTAATCGTTTTTCTTTGTAATTTTCCATTCATTGTCTGCTCTAATTCATATTTGCTTTGTTTTCCTAGCTTACTATTGCCGTGGCTGGCTCAACGCCCTTCTTTCAGGGGATTCTGTCCCTGCATTAGCTATGCTTGTCACATGCTATGAGATTGTGTCTAATAATAATAATAGTGCTAGTGTATAATAGAGCGTAATTTGAGCTCATTGGCCCTCTTTCTTCTTATCTCTATACTCAGTATTACTTGTTTATTGCATGTCTTCATTCATAATTTTATCAATAAAGTTCATCACCATTTTCTGGTAGCCAGACCATTAACTTGGTGAGAAGGCATCGGTACCTGTTCATGTGATGAATTAAAGTAAAATAACACAGTCATAGTGGTAAAAATAACCTACGTGGAGATAAAAATTTTAATATAGCTATGAATAGGATGAAGGCCGCAGACATCACGCAACTACGTTACTTGTTTGACATGTATTACTGTGTATTTTATAACCAAAATATTATTGAAAACCCAGAATCGATTTTCTCGTTCCTATCATCAGTGGGAAAAACGGAACTAAGTACTTAACTTCAGTTTCTTTGGTTGTATCCTTAGTTCCGTTTTTCCAACTGATGATAGGAACGAGAAAATCGATTCTGGGTTTTCAATAATATATTTGTTATAAAATACACAGTAATACATGTCAAACAAGAAACGTAGTTGCGTGATGTTTGCGGCCTTCATCCTATTCATAGTAGTAAGCTTGTCTTACTATTGGCCATCCCATTCAGTGCCCTGAATTAATGACTTTTAGTCTAAATTATCCATGTCTGGTACTTTCCCTCAAATTGTACTCACTATTTATTCGGGATTCAGGTGAGTAGTCCATGGTGCAGTTTCCATTTCCGCAGTCTTCTACTGTGTTTTGGCAGTCTTCAGCTATGTAACAGTTGGATTGATTCAGGCTTAATTCCTCCTCACAAGTGCACATGTAAGTAGAGCCTGCTTTTTGGCATTTTGTGTATCCAAAACAAATTGGAAATTGTCCATTTGCCAGGCATGTGTATCCAGGTGATGAACAATTCGGTGTAATAACTGGTACGGACTCATTACAACGGCAGTAGTAGTCAACGCTTCCGTTATTGTTGAACTTCTGAAAATGTCCAGGTGCACAGGACTTTGACACTGGATAGCATAAGACATGAATATACGAGATTTAATTTGACACTACACTGACAAAACATAACTGCCTGACTCTTAGAAGTAGAACACCCTTCAGGCTCATGAACATTTTGAAAGTTTTCACTAGTAGGAAATACAGTTTCATGCCTGATCATCAAACCATGGACAATGGATTAAAATTAATAGAAATGTTGTATCGCCCTTCCTACTTGCACTGGTTCTATCACCTCTCTAGTTTATTTAATCCATTGTCCATTGTCATTTGATTTTGCCTGTATTTCACCTGAGGATAAGGCATGAAACTACACTAGTGAAAACTTTTAAAATGTTCAAGAGCCTGAAATGTGTCCTACTTCTAAGTTTAAAAAGGAGAAGAGACTAATAAGTTACTACTTATGAATAACAGTTAAAGATAACTTATACAGTTACCAAACGAAAAACAAGAAAACTAACAAGGATATTGAGACATTCGACAACTGGACACCTACTTGAAGTAGCTCCAAAACATCTACGAAGCGCGCAAACCAAAAACCGTCCAACTTGGAAGGCTGAGATGTAGAAAGTTCCAATTAGGCGTTGTTTTCGCACTACTTGACTGTAAAAGATACCGTTACCTTGGTGAACTGTTAGTCATACCTAGTCACGTATTGGTCCTTTTCTCGTCTTTACCTATTGTGTTGGTTCACCATCCGCGTGTAAATAGACACACCTGATCAGCCGTCACCCGCAATATGGCAGGACGTACGTCATGGGAAACTACTAGTTATTGTACCTAACTTGTCCTTCATTGTTACATGAACATCGCGTTTAGTAGAATACTGTAGTGACTTTCTGTTTGTGGCAGTTCGTTTTCAGAAGTCGATGATACCATTTTGATTTGGCCCATCGATTCAGGTTTCGCAAGTCGTCATGCAAATGTCCTTGGCAACTACGAAAACTGGAAGTAGCTTGGCGTACGGGTGTTTATATGCACACTTGCATGGATCATGGAATCGAGGGATGAAATGTGTACCTGGCAAAACATGTGCACAGGTCCTCCCTCGTTAGTAGATAATCTCTGGGCCATCCATTTTTTTGTATCTTTAACACAAGCATCTGCATGCCCCACTCACATAACGAGCCACCAGCTTGGGGAATAGGAGGGTTTGTCAATTGCTTCGCCAGGCTCGAAGTGAGTGAGTTAGGAGTGTTAGAGCTGTGCAAATGTTTGTGCATGGCAGCTGGGCAGGGCTGCAGAGGCTGAATGAGCTCTATGCAGGCAGTCGGGCAGGGCCTGCTAGGGAGACTGAGTGAGCCCTATGCAGGCAGTCAGGCAGGGCCTGCCGCGGAGGCTAAGTCGTCTCTATGCAGGTAGCTGGGCAGGGCCTGCTGGGGAGGCTGAGTGAGCTCTATGCAGGCAGCTGGGCAGGGCCTGCTGCGGTGGCTGATTGCTGGGGCCGGACAGGGCCTGCTGCGGAGGCCCAGTGAGCTCTATCAGCGACACGAAAAAGAAAAGAGAAGGCACTATGAGGAGCCGGTGAGGCAGGTTGAGCAAGCCTCCTTGGTTCCGGCTGTCATGTCAGCCAGGGGCGGAATGGATCCAGCGTCAACAGCTCTGTATAAACGCATTGCTCATCTGTTGGCTGAGAAGAGGGGTGAGCATTACTCTCATGTTATGGCATTTGTTAGATGCAGGATTTCCTTCAGCCTTCTGAAATCCTGTATCATGTGCATTCACGGTTGTAGGCGTGTGAATTTTAGTTTGAAATGTGCACCCTCCTGCGGAGCCCACGCTGCTTTGGCAGTGGCTCACTTGCCCACGTAACCGTCGGAGACCATCATGAACAATGGACTGACTAATTATTCACTTGTCCTGTCTTTCTAAATAACATGTTATTGCACATGTTCTTGTTTTAGTTTTTGGCATTTTTCGTACTTTGGAGTTATTTGTTGTTTTTGGAAAGAGAGCTCTATGCAGGCAGCTGGGCAGGGCCTGCTGCGGAGGCTGATTGAGCTCTATGCAGGCAGCTGGGCAGGGCCTGTTGGGGAGGCTGAGTGAGCTCTATGCAGGTAGCAGGGCAGGGCCTGCTGGGGAGGCTGAGTGAGCTCTATTCAGGTAGCCGGGCAGGGCCTGCTGAGGAGGCTGAGTGAGCTCTGTTCAGGTATCCGGGCAGGGCCTGCTGGGGAGGCTGAGTGATCTCTATGAGCAAGGGCATTGAGGAGCATGATTGTACTATTGAGTGCAGTTCGTTTTTTCGAGCTCGTAGATTTTTGGTCTCTTTTTCACCCCAGCCGGCATCAGGCTGGACTGAAGGAAGGTATAGTATTTTTAGATAGATAGTATAGTGTAGTTTTAGTCTAGGTAGGACACCGGTGGCAGGCGTCGTCATGGGAGAGCTTTCAAGTGAAGCCCAGACGAAACTGCTTTGTTCCCTCCCAGGGATCGAGCACTCGCTGTTAGGAGTTGTGCACACACTATCTTCCCTAGCCACAAAATCCGCAGACCGTGCGGCGAGGATGAGCCACAGAATTTCAGAGCTATCTGTAGAAGTCAAAGGACTAAAGGAGGAATTGGCCATCCTCAAGGCATCCGCCATTGCGAAATCGATGAGCAGCAGCAGGCCAAGGTCAAGGGCAGTTGGAGCTGCACACGCAACAACAAGCAGCAAACCGTTAACAGCTGTCACGGGGACAAAGTACAGCATAGTACGGTGCACCGTAGCACAGAACACCCTGCGGAAACTCCATTGGCAACGCCTGTAGCAACGGACAGAAAACGTAGAGCAGAACCTCCCTAATGCATTGCACTCAGCACCGCTTCTCGGAATATCTTGTCAGGATAGCTGTGGAACGCATCCTCCCCAGTGGGGGAACGGCAAATGTGCTGTTCATTTTTTAGGCTTGCTTTTATGGTACGTACAAATCCCCATTGAAAAGACATAGTGGAGACCAGAAACTGCAAATAGATGTCGGGAACCGCGAAGACCACCCTTCCTTGTCAAGTTCCCTGAGGGTGTGGAAGGGGGGGGAGAGCGGAGGAGGGACATTCCTGCACTGCTTAAAGCAGGACTCACAGGAGTATTTTCAGAAATTGCTTGTACATTTGTACCAGTTGTAACCGACAAACGCATTCTCATTGAGCTTTGACTTGAGGCACGTCAGCAAGGCGCTGTTGCATCGCTGACGTCTTGTCGTGATTCTGTGAATGGTATTTTGTGCGAGTTTGCATCGCACGCAGAATCGCAGGTCGTGTCACATTGCGCATCACACTGCCAAATTGCTTCTGTGAATCCCACGTGAATGAGAATTCCAATGGGAATGTAATCCATTGCCAACAGGTGTATTCCCGAGCTGCGCATCATACTGCAAAATTGCTCCTGTGCATGCAAATGGATTTCATTGCTCTTCTGTAGTTTGAGAAATTCTCGATTATGATAATTCTGCGTGTGTGTGTGTACACCAGCCCTGAACATACTTCGAAGTACATGTACATGTAGGTGACCCATTTGTGGTGTCTCATAGCCTACCTCACGAATTTATGCTTTCTTTCTGTATCACTTGTATCTTGCAGGTATATCACCCTGTGGCGACCACATCGAAGTCTGAAATTGAAGTGTGAAGATGCTTCAGCAATCCCTTCATATTTTTCCATTGCTTTTATTGTGCTTCTACTGTGCATATGTGTAACTTGTGGGATATGCATGTGATGACAACGTATGCCGGTGATACGGTCAGATTTTGTCCATGCGAGTCACGGACACCTGCATGCTATCGTTGAAAAGGATCTGCCACTTACGATCTTCGGACGAGTATCAGGTCAGCTTGGTTTTGTGTGGGCTGTACCAGATGCTGTTCACTTCTCTATCTGTTGGATATGCGACTTTCTGCAAGTTTCTGGTGTATGGTGGCCACTTCTTTGCTTGTCTTTGTATGACATTACAATAATTCTGTATTCACTGCTTCCATGGTGTGGTCTGCAAACTGCAATCCTTAGGCAAATATCATCACGGTTTGCAATGTTGTGCTTTTGCCGCCAGCTTACCTACACATTGTAGTTGAATTATTTTTGTTTCACAACTGACTTCCTGAAGTATGGTGGCCACTGCTTTGCGTGGCATTATACAATGTTCATCAAGAATTTCCTGTTTGGGTCGTGTGTGTGTGTGTGTATGTGTGTGCGTGCCATGTGCATGTGCGTGTTTGTCACAATGTGTCTGTGCGGGGTAGCCAGGTGGGGAGGGCTGGAATGTATCAGTGTGCTATTGCAGTCGCATGGCTACATACAGTGGATCGCGCGCGTGCTCACCATGGTTATCTTCGGAGCTGGGCCGGGGTGGGGGAGGGAACAGAAAAAAGAACTGAAATTACCCATATAAAAACCTCTCTGTGAGCGGTTCTGAAAAACCTCTACTGGTGCAGCCCCGTCGTAAAAGTAAGAAATTAGAACTGGCGCATTGTCCTCCCAAATGTGAACTGATCCACCTAAATCGCGATTGACGGGACCCGAACGCACCAGTAGCACGAGATCGGGAGGGCACAGGATCACAGCCGGCGTCGGCGCTTATCAAGTAACCATACAACACTTACAGTACGTACCCCGAAGCCCACTTTTGCCGCTTTGGCTTTGGCTATGGACTTAGGTGGCACATCAGCGGCAGCACTAACAGCAGCAGGCACAGCGGCACAGCCAAATGAGACGGACAACAGACAGCCGTCAGCGTATTGCAGGTGCATACCTCCAGCGCGGGTCACTACATCATTGCCGACGACCATGTCGGTGTTCAGGACACTTAAGTCTGGGACAACCAGCACAGATACGGCAGTCAGTAGGTCCAAGTGCACAGGTCCGTCGAGGCGACGGAGGTTCAGCAGGACGCTACCCAGTGTCTTCAGCAATTCACTGTTGAGGGCGAGCATGTTGTTCGGACACTGTTCCATGTAACGCAGGCCATTGCACTTCTGGAGTGCGGCACGGCTGATGAGAGAGCGCGTGCAACCAGTGTCCACCACAGAACTCAGGCGAGTCCACTCGTCGTGTTTTTCTCGGCAGGCATCGACGTACACTCGGATGAGCCGAGGAGACGATGATGTAGCCAGCGCCAAACAGCAATCGGTTTTTCCTCCTGGCTGGTCAGAAACACCAGCAGACGCAGTGCCCCGTGTTCTCCTGGTCGGGTAGTTTCTCCGGATGTGGCCTAGCTCGTGACAATGGTGGCAACGAACTCGGCTGCTCTTCGAGGAAGATGGGCCTGCTGACGAGCTCTGCGTGGAGGGTTCCCGGTTCCCAGCATGGCAGGTCTTCTTGACATGCCCAGTTTTCCCGCACGTGTAACAATACAAAGACTTCGCTGGTTCGGTGGCAGCAGCGCCAATGGCATGCGATGATGCAGCGCTTTCAACCAGTTGCAAAGCGCGAACCTTCTCTGTCACGTCACTGACGGAGAGGGCCTGTCCAGCAACCTGCAAACGAATGTCTCGCGCGAACGTCCGGGGCAAGCCACAAATCACCTGCTCCAAAAGGACCGGGTCCTTATCGTCTGTAATCTTGTGGCCAGCTAAGCTCAAGTGGTGCTTCAGGTCAGCAACGTAGCCGTCCACAGCCTCATCAGGGCGTAGGCGACGGGACAGGAACTGCTGATAAGAATCAGCAGGTGCAGGCACGAAGGCCTTTTCAAGTAGCGCTTTCACGGTTGCCTCCTTTTTCCTGTCCGCCTCCGCCATGGACATGAAGACTTTGAACGCCTGGCCATCTAGGACCAGGGGCAGGTGCTGCATCCGTTTTTCCTCCGTGTCCCACTTTTGAATATCCGCCAGGACACGGAACCTCGACCAAAACGTCACCAGGTCATCTCCTTTTCCGCGGAACGTCCGCAGGAATCCATCGAGTTTCAGCGACATTATTTCCAAAGCAAGGCCCACCACCAAACAACAACACAGTCCGACCAGGTATCAGCAGGTTTTGGCACCAGATGTTATGGAACTTCAGTCACGCAGGCATGCACGCCAACTCGACCAACAGGCAGTACGAAAGTAACTAGTTGTTATTCAGGGAAGAACATTTCAGAGAGAGAGAGAGAGAGAGAGAGAAAACAAGTTGAGAGCAAAACGACAACATAAGAACTACAGGTACTAATGAACTCATGGCAAAGAGTTCCAAACAGGCAACTGAGTACAGCCAACTCAGATGCATAATATTGGAAATGCTTTCTGTCTAAAGCCTTTCCATTCTGGTGCTCGATGTTTTCAGTTTGGGGACAACAAAATTAGTGTACGGCTAAAGACACGAACTCATGGCAAAGAGTTCCCAACAGGCAACTGAGTACAGCCAACTCAGATGCATGATATTGGAAAGGCTTTCTGTCTAAAGCCTTTCCATACTGGTGCTCGATGTTTTCAGTTTGGGGACACCAAAATTAGTGTACCGCTAAAGACACGTGGTCGACACTTTGTTGACACTTTGTTGATACTTTGTTGACACTTGACCCAATTACCGGCCTACCAAGTGCCTTTGGCGACCGCTAACAGCAACTGTGGAACAGTGCAGTGCCCTTTTTGGAGCAACGTACGAGTAGTGCCCGTGAATTATGACCCCGCGACCCCAATCTACGTGGCGTTCCGCAATTCGCTACTTCATACTGACTGGCGTCCGGCATCGTCCCGAATTTGGCCGCAATCTGCTCTCGGAACCCTTATAGGGCTCCCTGACCTGCTCCATCTTCGCCATCGTCAATGTACTGCAAATCCGGCCAGGCCAGGACTGCACTTACTTACGGGAAGGAGTATTAAATATTTTGCAAGATGGAACTTGGGAACTGGAAGACGACGAAAAAGAAGCGTGGGAATCCGGCGGCAATGGCTGGGATGTAAGTCCAACATTGCTGGTGCTAGAGTTGCCACTGCTTGCTTATAAGGGAATCAATTATGTGTGTTGCCTTTTTGGCTTTTCCGACGTCCTCCTCCGACTGTACTCCCAGGACTGAACTTACGGGAAGGAGTGCTTCCAAGATGGGAGACGAAGAAGAAGAAGCCGCTGAATCTGGCGGCAATGGCTGGGATGTAAGTCCAACATAACTGGTGCTAGAGTTGCCACTGCTTGTTTATAAGGGATTCATGTGTGTTGCCCTTCTTTGCTTTCTCCCATGTTCTCCTCCGACTGTACTGGTGAACGCTGTCACATATGCTGCCCTTTCCAGGCAGTAGAAGGGAGTTGCGGGGGGGGGGGGAGCACATCCTGGCATCCAGGCATGCTGGGTGGAATTATAGGCAATCTGACCTTTCCTCTTACTCCAATGATGGTGGTATGGATGGGGAGTTCTTGAGCGTCCTCAGTCTTGTTAAAGTGAACTGTGCAACTCGGCAATCGGTGATAGCAGAGGACCAATTCCGATGGCGATGCTCCTTTCTTTTTCTCTGTCACAGGCTGCGTTCTCGAGAAGAAGCGTTATTTCTGCATTCCAAGAAGGACGGCACAATGGTGAGTTGAACTTCGTGGGTGTGCAGCCTTGCTAGTTGAGTTGTAAATCAACCATTCTTCCTGTCTCTGACTTCTTCAATGTCCTCCTCAGTGTCGGACTGTCCGCGTCGCATTGAACTGGTCCGATGAGGCTGCTATTGCACACACAGTGAGGGAAATCCCATACGGGAACTCGGAAGTACTGCTACAGTACAGGTAAGGTAGCCGTCGCTTATGTGCGTGCGCCGTTGTTGTCAACTTTTAAGCCAGATGTACTCGGACCTACATGCCATGGAGTCTGAAAGTAGTCAGCTGGCGAACTAGAGGTTTAGACGTTAGATGCGCTTGGTCAGCTTTTTCAGTTTCACAATGATAGAGAGGTTCTGCTATACGTGAAACGTAGAGAAATCACGTAGAGAGCAGGTGTCTGGGTTAGAGTCTACGGCTTCGCGTGTTTTGGCTCCAGATTTCTATGCGGAGATGGGGTTCTCTACGCTGTGGCACACGCAGAGAAAATGCGTACGGATTTGCTGGGTATCGATCAACTGCATGCAGAAAACTGCCAAAAATGGAAGGGGAAATTCCCAGTACACATTCCACGTGACTTCTCTAGGTGAAACATAGAGCAGAACAGCATTTCTTTACGTTACGGGAACGCGAAGAAAGTTCGCGTAATTCTTTGCGTCGCGTTCCCAAAACGTAGAGCAGAACCTCCCTAATGCATTGCACTCAGCACCGCTTCTCGGAATATCTTGTCAGGATATCTGTGGAACGCATCCTCCCCAGAGGGGGAACGGCAAATGCGCTGTTCATTTTTTAGGCTTGCTACAAATCCCCATTGAAAAGACATAGTGGAGACCAGAAAATGCAAATAGATGTTGGGAACAGCGAAGACCACCGTTCCTTGCCAAGTTCCCTGAGGGTGTGGAGGGGGGGGGGGGGGGAGAGCGGAGGAGGGACATTCCTACACTGCTTAAAGCAGGATTCACAGGAGCCTTTTCAGAAATTGCTTGTACATTTGTACCAGTTGTAACCGACAAACGCATTCTCATTGAGCTTTGACTTGAGGCACGTCAGCAAGGCGCTGTTGCATCGCTGACGTCTTGTGATTCTGTGAATGGTATTTTGTGCGAGTTTGCATCGCACGCAGAATCGCAGGTCGTGTCACATTGCGCATCACACTGCCAAATTGCTTCTGTTAATCCCACATGAATTGGAATTCAAATGGGAATGTAACCCCGATGATTCTCAACAGGTGTATTCCCGAGCTGCGCATCATACTGCAAAATTGCTCCTGTGCATGCAAGTGGATTTCTCTGCTCTTCTCAGTTCGGGAAATTCTCGATTATGATAATTCTGCGTGTGTGTGTACACCAGCCCTGAACATACATGTAGGTGACCCATTTGTGGTGTCTCATAGCCTACCTCACGACCTTATGCTTTCTTTCTGCATCCCTTGTATCTTGCAGGTACATCATCCCGTGACGACCACATCGAAGTCTGAATTTGGACCACATCGAAGTCTGAATTTGAAGTGTGAAGATGCTTCAGCAACCCCTTCATATTTTTCCATTGCTTTTATTGTGCTTCTACTGTCCATGTGTGTAAATTGTGGGGTATGCATGTGATGACAACGTATGCCGGTGACACGGTCAGATTTTGTCCATGCGTGTCACGTACACCTGCATGCTATCGTTGAAAAGGATCTGCCACTTACGATCTTCGGACAAGTATCAGGTCAGCTTGGTTTTGTGTGGGCTGTACCAGATGCTGTTCACTTCTCTATCTGTTGGTTATGTGACTTTCTGCAAGTTTCCGGTGTATGGTGGCCACTTCTTTGCTGTCTTTGTATGATATTACAATCATTCTGTATTCACTGCTTCCATGATGTGGTCTGCAAACTGCAATACTTAGGCAAATGTCATCACGGTTTGCAATGTTGCGCTTTGGCCGCCGGCTTTAATACCTACACATTGTAGTTGAATTACTTTTGTTTCACAACTGACTTCCTGAAGTACGGTGGCCACTGCTTTGCATGGCATTATACAATGTTCATCAAGAATTTCCTGATTGGGTCGCGTGTGTGTGTGTGTACGTGTGTGTGCATGCCCATGTGTTTGTGCCCATGTGTGTGTGCCATGTGCGTTTGCGTGTTTGTCACAATGTGTCGGTATTAAACTGTATGCGGGGTAGCGAGGTGGGGAGGGCTGGAATGTATCAGTGTGCAGTCGCATGGCTACATACACTGATACAGTGCATCGCGCGCGTGCTCACCATGTTTATCTTCGGAGCTGGGCCGGGGTGGGGGAGGGAACAGAAAAAAAGAACTGAAATTACCCATATAAAAACCTCTCTGTGAGCGGTTCTGAAAAACCTCTACTGGTGCAGCCCCGTCAGAAAAAGTAAGAAATTAGAACTGGCGCATTGTCCTCCCAAATGTGAACTGATCAGCCTGAATCGCGATTGACGGGACCCGAACGCACCAGTAGCACGAGGTCGGGAGGGCACAGGGTCACGGGAATGGGTCGGCGCCGTCGCTGATCAAGTTACCATACAACACTTACAGTACCCCGAAGCTCCATCTTGTCGCCTGGCCGAGTCGCCTGCTCTGTTTCGCGCTCACACAAAGTCTCATTTTGGGTTCCCAGTAAAAAGGCAACATTGCCTGTTGGGAAATCCCTAACAAAATAAGAAAAAAAAAAAAATAATAATAATAATAAGCCCACCTTTGCCCGGGCTTTGGCTATGGACCAGCGTCCCGAGCTGCATCCACAGGTAGGAACCTCGTGCTACTGGTGCGTTCGGGTCCCGTCAATCGTGATTCAGGTGGATCAGTTCACATTTGGGAGGACAATGCGCCAGTTCTAATTTCTTACTTTTACGACGGGGCCGCACCAGTAGAGGTTTTTTAGAACCGCTCAGAGAGCGGTTTTTATATGGGTAAAGTATGTGTGACCGTTGCATCGTGTGGTCCGCCAAAGCGGCTGTGGTAGTTCCGCTTTTCGACTCCGCAAAAGCGGTGCAAGCTTTTCATGTGTGACCGCGGCCTAAGGGCAATATATAGCAACGATAAAACAAGCGTTTTCAAGAAAGAGGAAGATGTCTACAGTGGGCTTGAAAAGCCCCAAGGATGGAGCTTGTGCGCTTGCAGACATACTGCACATGGGGTGACCATGACAATTTAGAGTCACTATTAACGCCAAGGTGCTTATGCTCTTCAACAATACGAAAAGCAACACTTGAAGAAGGAAAACAAAGTGGCAGGGAAGGGGGAGAAGGGGAATGTACATAGCTGCCGTTTTATCAACGTTTGGCTGCAACTTCCAATCATGCATCCAGGTTATAACTTTCCCAATGTTATCTTGCATGGCTTCGTGCAGTCGTATAGGGCAAGCATTGGAGCAAAGCAGAGCTGTGTCGTCAGCGAAAAGGCTGACACCAGGGGTAATATCGGGGAGTTCATTAATATACAGGAGAAATAGCAGTGGCCCAAGGATTGAAACCTGGGAGAATCCAGAAGTAACGGGTAAAGGCTCCGATAACACAGTTGAGAGGCGTACAAGCTGATGTCGGTTAGAGAGATACAATGAGAGCCAGCCGATAGCCTTGCCATCAATGCGATATACTGTTCGCAGCTTAGCTAAGAGACCCCTGTGCCAAACAGTGTCGAAGGCCTTTGCGAGATCGAAGAAAACTAAACCAACATGGTTATGGGCGTTCCGGGCGCTGTGGATGTCTTGCACGAGGCGGGTAACCTGGTACCTGGTGGAGTCACCCTGACAAAAGCCCGACTGTGCTGGCGAAAGTGAAATGCGAACTTAATCATAAATGATGTCATATACAACACGTTCGCACACTTTTGACAAATTAGAGAGCAATGAGATAGGGCGATAGTTGCTGGGGGTGGTGCGTGGTCCTCTATTTTTGTAGGTGGCCACAATTACCGCAGTTTTCCACATGGCTGGGAATTTCCCTTCGCGAAATGACATATTCAAGATAATTGACACAGGATAGGCAACAGATGGAGCAAGAGCTCTCCAAACTTTGTTGGTAATTCCGTCTTGACCAGGGGACTTGCCAGTTTTCAGATTACGGAGGTATTTCCTCACTTGGGCTGTACCAGTCGACAATGATAGGAGGGACACAGGTGTTGAGGGTGAAGGGGTGAGTGGTGGTATAGGCCACGTAGGGTCGTCAGGAAGTCCAAACGACGTAAACTGCGTGTTCAATATGTCTGCTATGTCTGCGGGATCTGTTGCTACCGTGCCGTCTGAAGCTGTCAGTGATCGGATCGGCTCCCGACTACAGTTCTTACGGAGATGGCGGAGAAATTGATGGAGACTAGGGCGATCATGGGAAGACAGGGTGGCATGAACCGACTGTACATACCGACGATGGAGGGTACGTGACAAACATTTCACTTCGTTACGCTTGCGATTAAAGGCAATGAAGTTTTCACTGGTTGGATACTTCCTATAAATGCTATACAAATCTCGGTTCAGTTTCACAGCACACTTGAGGTCCGGAGTAATCCAGGGTCGGGATGCATCCCGCATAGTAGGACGAGGCCTAATGTAGTCTCCTGTCCGCGGAATAACTTTGTAAGGCAACAGATGACGATGGAATGCTGACTGTAGTAAAGCATCAAACAGGACAATGGCATCATCAACATCAGAATGCCGATGAAGTAATGACCAGTCCAACCTAGACAAGTCTTCATTCACAACCTGCCAGACACGGGTAGGCACTTGTTTATACCTGTACTGAGCCTGGGGATGGAGGGACGATTTAGCAGTCGCTTGTGGTGTCGAGCACGATGCATAGTTGAGCGTACAAACAACCTGCAGATGATCAGATGCGCCAAGAGGAGCTGCGTTGTCGACTGAGAGGACATGTCGGGGTTTGTTGGTTACCAACAAGTCAAGACATGAGTTGGCACCCGCTGATGAAGTGTATGTTGGGAAACTCACTAGTTGTTGGAGCCCAAGCATTGAAAAAACTGTCTGTAGGTTGGTACCGGCTGTAGAGGTGGAGTCAGAAGAGCACCAATCATTATGTTTGGCATTAAAATCCCCCGTCAGGAAGAAGTCACACTCGTCATAGCAAGAGGACTGTATAGCATCGACCAGCATATCTGAGAAGAAGGACAATTGTTCCGCCGTTTGGGAAGGGGGTCGATACATGTAACATACAAGAATAGGGTTAGGGGTGCATTGAGACTTAACTTCCACCCAGGCAGATTCACAGCCCTGACGCTGCAGGTCGGGTCTGTGGAGAATATGTTGAAAAGCATCAGTCCGGACAAGCACGGCGACACCACCATATCCTCTAGTGAAAGAGTGTGCATTTCTGTTCTCGTGTGCTGGTCTGTCTCTTCTGAAACAGGAATAGCCCGGTACATGCACGGGAACAGATGGGCACAGCCAGGTCTCCGTGAGGCAAACAATACTTGGCTTAGTGCTCTCCAGAACAATCGAAAGTTTAGCTAATTTATTGACGAGAGACCGACAATTCATGGTTATCAGCGTTAGGTCGGATTCTGATCTGGGGTAGAATGGGGTAGCATGCAAGTTGAGGGAAGACATAGACAACATGATTATGACGAGGAACTATCACCACCATGTTCAGTCACGTTGGTACCGCCGGCAAAGCGCCACTTACGGACGGTGTGGCTAATTGTTGCCGGCCAAAATCCTGCACTGAGTATTTTGCCTTCATCCGTCGCTAGGACAGTCAGTCGTGCATATGCTGTGCCAAAGGTCCGGGATTCGCTAATACTGCAATTGAGCACCTCAACCTCACGGTCCTTGCACCAGTCAGTGATTGCGTTAGCGCTACACTCCATGTGGACATTGCCCACGTAGAACACAGATTTTGCGACTTTTTCTACGCCTGTGAGGATGTTGGGGTTTGCTGGGGCCACAGGCTTCACGTACCGGGACGTGACCCGACGCCGTACAACTTCGGCCCAGCCATCCGAACTGCTTCCCGTATATTCACTTGTACTAGTTGTAGCCAATGTTGATCTGGTTGGTGCAGCCGGTGGTGTTTCAGTGCGTGATGAGGTCTGGTGTACATGTGTCGATGTTTGGGAAGTGCGGGTACGGTTGGCAGAGTGTGCGTTGGGGGAGTCCGAGTGACGGTTTCCCTCACCCCAGCCCCTGTACTACCTGAACTAGCTACACTACTGTACGTTGTACTCGGGGTTGTAGATTGTGCAATCAGGTTTGGACTTCCGCCTTTCTCAAGGTGTATCATCTTCGCCACGAGGCCATCAATGGTTGCTTTCATTTCTCTAACTTCCCTATCCCTGTCCTCCCTGAGGGAGACCATTTCCACATTTAATGCAGTGATAGTCGAGGACAGTGCACTGATAGAGCTCACTAGCGCTGGCATACCTGATTTGCCGATGTCCATGGCGCGAAGTTGAAGTACAAGGTCCGGTCGGGCCAACGAGTCCACACCTGCAAGTCCTGACTTTTTGGCCAAGTCACGA